GAGGTTAGGAGAAAATTTCTGAATACAAGGGTGGTCAAGAATTGGAACAGGCTACCTAGAGTCAATCCTCCAACCCTGGAAATTTTCAAGAGCAGGTCAGACAGATACTTGGCTGGGACAGTTTAGTCACGGACAATCCTGCCTTGAGCAGGGGGCTGAACTACATGAGCATATGAGGTTCCTTCCAGCCCTTCTTTCCTATGATCCTAAAAAGTGTTACAGTGCTTAGCAAAAATAACAAATGTTTGTGCTTATGAGCTCCTAATTTCCATACCCTTCCTGAGAGTCCTCAGGATCTTGATAAGTTTCCTCCAGGAAGCTCAGGATGCTTGCACATCCTTCTGCTCCTGTTCAATATTTTCTTCCTGACAGTGGTCTACTCCTTATAGACATAGATTTGAGCGTTCTAATTAGTCTTGATTGTGAGTCCCAGCATAAGAACTCATGTCCTGGCTCGACTGAGTTCAAGTGCACAATCCTGTTTGCTTCAAAACAAGAAAAGTGGAAATAATTTGACAACAGTCTTTGGAAACTGGCTGGATAACTTTCTCCGTGTTTGTTCTCCTCAAATTGAGTTAGGCATTACAACCAGGCTACCTGCCAGTTTAAACTGGCTTTCCACATGAGATGCAACAGAAAATCATATGAAACTTGGAGATTGTAAACAAAATCAATTTTCCATGGTGTTCCCAAGCTGTCATACTGTCAATTCCAAGTTAAAATTCTGGAAATTATAAAGTTATTAAATTATTATAAATCTGCTCTATACCCATGAATACATGAAGAAACTACGACGTTAGAATAATGGTAATGAGGTAGCTAAAAAATGCCTTAAAACTAGGGGTGCACCAAATAAAGGGCTCGTATACATGCAGGGAGCCTGCTCCAATGCGCTGGAATTCCAGTGCTTTAGAGCAGAATCAGTTAATTGAGTCTACTGAAGCGTGGAAACTAATGTGCTCCAGCAGCCTCCAGCATAACATGTATAAACATCCCCACACAGAAAAATGGTGGTGGGAGCTTTAAACTAAAGTTCGTTTGACGAGCTTTAGCTCAAAGCACCCACCGCCATTTTTCAGGGCACATGAAGCTCCAAGCCCTTTTAATTAGCATGACTCTCAGAGCTAATTGAATCACCCCATCACAAACCACCCAGAACACATGTACACAAGCCCAAAGATTTTCTTGTCCGATACCAACAGCTGATTATTAACCAATCATATCAGCCGATGCCAATCCAATCACTGATATTTAGTAATAAGGCAAGGCATTTTAAACTACTGACATAAATAAACCTCTTTTATTTGGCATTCTGCAGCAGCCTCCTACATCTCATATATTAATGTCCCCATGCTTAAAAATGGCTGTGGAGGTACTTGAACAAAAGCTCGCTGACTAAAGCCACTATTCTTAAGCCAATACATGAGACACTACAGCATTTTAATAAGAGCAGCTGTTGGAGCCACTTTAAAGTGCCGCCCCTCCTACCCCAGAGCACATGTAAAAATGCCCATGTCAGCTGCAGCATGCAGGGCTGGCCTAGCAGGGCCTGCGACAGGCTGTGCAGAGCCCTTCAGCTCCTGCTTTTCCACATAATACCCTTGAACCCCAGCTGAGGCAGCTGCCTGAGCCTGCCCAGCAGGGCTGAGGGACAATCCCACAGCATTTCTGGCTGCCCAGGACCGAGTAGTCTCTAGGCCAGGCTCCCTGCCAGGAAGGGCCACGGGACCATTCCAGGCTTGGAGAAAGCTGGCCATTCCTCTTCCACAGTCAGGTCCTGGGCACTGGACTCCAAAGGCGGGGAAAGAGCTCCTTCCACTCCTCGTGCTGCTGCTACCAGGAGCAGGGGAAGCCTGCGTGCCTCTGGGAGGCTGAATGGATCTGGCCCCAACCCTGGGAAGGGCAGGACCCAGCTGAGATGAGGGGTCGGGGGAGGACCCTGCTGCACATAGCAAGGGGGAGAGCAGCTGTCTCCAGTCCTACCAGGCTCTGTCCCGGCCCCTCGGGCACAGACCCCCCAGGCATTGCAGGCTAAGGTAAGTCGGGCCAAGGCAGGCTGGGCTGCTCTGCCTACCTGTCCCTACCCCAGTCATGTCTCTGTGGCACTCACCGCCTCTTACAGCACCTGACTCAGCCCCAGGACGCAGTCCATGCCAACACCTGGGACACTACACCAGCTGCTCTGCTCTGGCCCGGCCCACCAGTGAGGGGAAGGAGGTGGGGATGGAAAACGGCTCAGGCCCCTGGAGCCAGATTGGGCCCTCAAGGTCACCCTGACTCGCAGGAGGGAACCCAGGCATCTGGGGGCCCTGGCCCTGCGGGCAAGAGGGAACTCAGGCATCCGGGGCCCTGGCTAGAAGGCATAATTAACAGTAAGCATTATCAGCTACAATGGCCAAAAAAGCCAATAATGTCATTTTTCTTTTATCAGGGCTGATCCGATAGGCAACCAATATATCGGTACACCTCTACTTAAAACCCAATACCACTGTAGTTTGATGGCAGAGGCTGGGGTATTTCCACTGACTTCCTTAGTTAACTTCATGGTAAAAGTGTCTCCAACAAATTTTTGCAGCATGATGGCTAACAAGCACTAGTTACTCTGAAATAAGAGGTCACACCCACTTTGACAAGCAAGACCAAGCCTTAGACCACCAATTCTCAACTGGAAGGGTGCAGCACCAGGGGTACCTTGGGATCCTGCCAAGGATGCCACAGAGTGCCATGCAATGCTAACACAGGCGTGCAAATATAATTTACAAGGTAAGTCCAAAGACTTCAAATAGCAAGCCATAGCATCAAAAACCTTTTACTCATCCTGTCATGGCTTTTCTGAGTTCTTTGCAAAAGAAGAATTGCCCTAGTATTTTTCTGTAGTAAAAAAAAACAAAAAAAAAGTAAAGCTGACAATTTTCAAGGGGTGCCTCATGAGGGAGGGATCTAATGAGGGATGCCTTGAGTCTAAAAAAGGGTGTATTACCCCAAGTGGTTCTCAGTCTTTTTGGATTCAAAGCACCTCTCCATAACTTTTGTGAATCAGGTAGCTATAAATTAGTTAAAAAAACTAATTTGTAGATATCAGTGTTTACTTCCTGGCAGAAGAGATGGAGGATCATCTAAGCAGGGACAAGTCTGAGCCTGTGCTTATCCCTTAACACCTCAATTATCATCTTACACCTCATGGTATCCTTCATATGATCTGATAGTGAGGTGTCTTGGTACCCTGGTTGCGAATCATTGTCTTTGACTATTTCCTGTTAACATCACTAGTAGTTGCCAAAACAAAGCTTGAGTTGACCTCCAAGGCTACTGGTGTTTATCAGAAACTTGATCTGTCAGTTATAAAACGTTTAGAGTCTGTCAACAACTTCAAGTCCCACATAACAAAGAACGTCTGTCAGTTTCTTAGCCAGTGGAACTTTTAAGACCTCATTGGAATACTAATCAACACGTACTGCTCATATAAAGGCTTTCCTAAAACACTGGCCAGACTAGGCCCGACCAGCAAATCTGACTGATGCATGAATCTCTCACATAAGCAGAAGTTGTAACGTGGAAACATGGTCAGGATGATAGTGGAAGATGTGAAATCTTATTGTGAGATGGATGGAAAGGTACTTGTGCTAGACACACGGGGGTCCAGTGCTTGCACCACAATAAGGCTGGAATCACACTCAGATCTAGCCTGTTTGATGCATTGCTGGGTCATGGGACTTAAGCCCACACAGCAATTTTAGCTCCCCTCTATCTTCCCCCCACTCTCCCCAGTTAATGAAGGGAGCTACTGGACATGTGCCAACTGATTATTTAGAACAAATGAACAAAGCAGAAACAGGAGCAAAGATCATAGGTTAAAAAATGAGCACACTGAGGTGGGACAGAGTAGAGCACACCGGACAGAGCCCACTGGCCTATGAGCGAATTCAGGGAGCAAGTGGACACAACTCAGTGAAACTTTGCATGGAAGCATGAATGGAGAAGGGATAGGAAAACGACCCTGCAGTTCCCGCAGATGTGAAAGAAGCCCGTGGTACAGGACAGTTTAAGACTGGGGTTTTCAACCTTTTTTTGGTCAGTGTACGGCAGTCGGTCGAAAACTGGGGAGTCCCCCGGTGGCTGTCCGGGGGGGGCGGGTACCCCATACATCCGCGACGGCAAAACCAGAAGTGCTGGCAGCATGTGGTGCCAAAGCCAGAAGTGCCGGTGGCAGCGCCAGCAGCATGCTGTGCCAGCGGAAACAAGTGCTGGTGACGCATGGCATGCAGTGGTGCAAAGTGCTGGTAGCCCCCATCCCCCAGACTGCTGCCACATACCCCCCCAAGGCCTTCCCAAATACCCCCAGGGGTACGCATACCCCAGCTGACAATCCCTGGTTTAAGATATTCAAAACACAAGTGGAATATAAAATGCAGTTAGTTTTGACCCCTGTAAAAAAAGAATTGGAAACCAGGGAGGACTTTGTTACTGCAGGGTATTGTTCCCACTACTTTGTCTAAGGCGCCAGTGTGTTAACACCTGGTCTGAGGCACACGTTAGGCCGCTGTGCGTTGAGGCTGCACACGTAGACAAGAAACCTGGCAGAATCCTTGCCACAAGCGGAGCCCGCAGTCATCCTTTACGACAAACCTGGCATCAGGTGTCTCCTGGCCATGACTTTTTTTGCCAGCGCTGCAGGTGCTGAGGCTTCCATACAACACCAGTCACCAAGGCCGGAGAGGGGCACAGCAGCCAGGACACACTAAGCCCTTCCCGCTCCCCTTCCCATTTCTCCAACGCTTGAGCCCGCTGGTTTCCAGCACAGACAGAAGGCGAGCACCCCGCCTCAGGGGCCGCCCGGGGGTCACCCACCAGCCGGGCAGCCCGAGGAAAGGGCCCAGCCTGGGACACCCGCACGGCTTCCGGTCCCTCGCTGCCACGACGTCGCTCCTCCACTACCTTCACAGCATAAAACGCGGGTCCGTCTCTTGCTGTCCCCAGCGAAGCCGGGACACGAGGCCGGAGCCCCTCGCTAGGCACAGCCCGCGCCGTGGGAGCTCTGCCCTGTCCGGCCCCGCGACAGTTTGTCCGTTACCAGCCGCCTGCGCCGCAGCTGCCGATTCACCTAGCCAGATTCGCCGCTCCGTCCCCTGCCCTCCCAGAGCCGTCCCTCAGGGAGCCCCGCTCCCAAGCCGCTCGCCCGCAGCAGCAGGGCAGGCTCGGGAGAAAGGGGAGTAACCGTCGCACTTGGCGCGTGGCGAATCTGCAGTCGCGAGTTCTGCTTCCGGGGAGCCTCGCGGCGGGGTCGTAACTTCCGGCAACAACAGCGACAGTCAGAGCCTGGGAGCCGGAGGCGGCGGCGGTTCCTCGGGGTGTTTTTGAGGGGGCAGGAGGGGACTGCAACCCACTCCCTGCCGAGGTTGCTCGAGCCTGTTCCCACCCGGCGAGGCTCCCGCCCCGACTCGGACCTGACTCGTCGCGGCGGCGGTTGGGATTGGAGCTTGCACAGGTAGGGACAGCGGGAGGGAGCCTGGTCCGGAGTGACGGGCGCCATGGCCAATCGCAGGGCGCATATCGCTTGCGGGGGGGGCGGCTGGCTGAAAGGCCCAATCCCGTGCAAGGAGGGGGCGGGGCAGGGCATGTGAGGGGAGTAGGGAGCCTTCCACCACGGGGCGTTGGGGGCAGACACTGGGTGTGGGGGCTCTTCAGTAACTACATCGGCTCTTGGACCCTCCCGAGGGGTGGGGGCTGTGCCAGGCAGCGTGATCCACCGCCGTGGCGCTCCGTCCCCGCGGAAGAAGGAACCTGCTCCGTCGAGAGGAGTAGCCAGCATTGCGGGTGGGCGCGGGAAAGCCCTTTGGCAGCCCGTGGGAGTGTGTAGCTGTTCCCTGGCGAGCGACCTGGCTCCAGTGTGAGGTGGCTCTAACGGGATCCCCTGCACGCACCCATTGGAGAATTTAAGTGCTCACCTGAGCAGTCAGGTGGGGTGGTTGTTATATCAGACCAAAAATGGCAGGCCCCATCTAAGTTAAGTCACAAGACCTAATTTAGATCCAGAATAAGTTAACCTTGCCCAGGGAATGTCTGCACATGAGCCTTAAGGCTGGGGAAGCCCAGCCATTCCCCCAGCCCTAGGGTTCTTCCTACCCAACCCCCACCTTGACCGGGACTTTCATTCCCTTCCCAGCTGGGTTATTTTAGCTCCCCCATCCCAGGACAGACATCCCCTCCCTGCAGACCCACCAGCCTCCTCAAATCTCACCAACCCACCCCCAGTTACTTACATCAAGTTCCCCATGAACCTCTCTCAGTGCTGACAAATGTGTGCTCCTGGAACTCCTGGCCTATGATCATAAACCAGGTGTTTTGAGCATTTGTACACACCTGTTATTAATGTATGAGACCCACTATTTATACCCTAGAGTATGTCAGCTTTGTAGCAGTATAGGGTTATAGGTTCCAGGTCCTGTGCATCTCAGAATCTTGTTATACATTTGCTGAGTAGTTTTTCCTACTGATCATGTGAGAGCCTAATCAAGGAGCCTAAATGGTAGGGGAAAATACATAATTGAAGCTTGGAGAAATACACTGCCATTGCTTATTTTGATATGACAATTTAAAAGAGGAGAATTTTTCATAATACAGCTGTGGTGACTGTTAGTAGTCATTCACTAATCAGAGGTTCTTGTACTCAAAATTACTTTGTTCATTATGTTCCAATAATGAACATGTTCATCCTGGCTTACTGCAAAGCTGAAAATAATTACTTAGGAGGCAGGGAGGAAGGGGGTAGGGAAGAAGAAAGAGGACACCCACTCTAACAAATGGCAGATTAGCAAGGCTCTGAAGTTTTACTCTTGTGGCTTTAGCATAATTAGTCCTGGGCTGGTTTAAATAATATGATAGTTTGTGACATCAGTTAAAATGGTATTTAATAATAAAAATCTATTGTAGTTTGTTTAATCATTTCTGCATATTACATTTAAATTAAATCCATTCAAGGTTCTTTACTTTAAAAAAAAATCTACTTTGGATGTCTTTCCACAGAAATACCTTGCATGGATGTATATTACTAAGAGCCAAGTTACTTGGATATTATGGCAGATTACTTGCATTTTTCTCCCAGGATGTATGTAAACCATGCCCTGTTTTCTAATATGGAATTAATTGGAAGTGATTATGTTCAGACTAGTTTAAAGAAGATTAAGAGAACTAAGAAAATTGTTCATCTTCCATTTGTAATCATTGTTAACGATTAGATTGGCTCTTTGCATTTAGAAATTCCTGTGTAGCTGCTGTAGTTGAAACATGGAAATAACAACTGCAGCTGAAGTTTGTGTAGATTTGTTGTGTATATAGAAGGGTTACTTAAAGATTAGGCAGATAATCTGTTTTGCAGAGGATCATGGGCTAGTATAAAAATAACCCCAACTTCCACATTTACTGATTTGAGTGAACTTTATGCCCTCAAGCAGACACAGTTTTTAGAGAATCTTCCTGATAATGATGCTTTTCTTTTTCCTATGTACACCTCCTATAATATTCTGACATCAGCCATTTCAAATTGAAATCCTGTGATGCTGAAAAATGACAGCTTGTGTTAGCAAGTTTCTCAGATAGAGAGCAAATTGTGAGGGAACAGTTTGCAAGGAGGAAAAAGGCAGGCTGTGAGTTTTTCCTGTTTTGTTTAAAAGGTTGTTTTATTTGGGAGGAATGGCTGAGGAGCCCCGTTGGGAGCAAAACCCACCTGCAAAAGCCAGCAGGTAGGCAACTCATTTGCAAGGACCCCAATCTTGATTTAACTGTCTAACGACTTCTGTAATAAAAACAGCAGCAAAGATGCCCACTGCAACACCGAGATGTAAGAAAGTAGTTTAACACGTGTTACGACAAGGTTTTCCCTCTCCTTTATGGTCACAAACTGAGAGTTCCACTGCACTTTTAGGCAGAAGGGAGAAGAGCAGCTCCCAGGAGGAACCATAGGTCTTGCTTTAAAGCCTTTGAGGTATGAAGGCATCAAAACAGGGGTATCGCTCCTGGTCAGAACTTCCAATAACTTTTCACCATATCAGGGTATCTTTGGTTATGGTTCAGAGGCTCCATAGGATCCCTTTAGTCCCAAAAGAACTCTATAACACGTGCCTAGTCTGTGCTCTAGGACCAGGGCATAGGCCTAAGGGAACTGTTACCTCTTTTTCTAGTTTATCCACAAACACACTCATGCACTATAGATATATGGCCATATTCATTTAGATTTCTCTCACAATCGTGAGATTCTGTTTATAAGGATAAGGCCTAGCTATTTTTTAAATAAAAAATGAATTCGGAAGAAATGGCTGGATAATGCCCATTCCTGGCAAACCATCAGCTGGCTCTTTTTAAAGGCCAGCTGGCATTAAGATGGACACTACTCCTCTTGGCTGCTGTTATTTCTATACTACATACACAACTATAAGGAAAAACCCAAAGCTATGCCCTGTTTAATTGATCTAGCAACTACTGAAGTAACTCAAACCTCCTAATTACCTCTTTTAAAAGTTAGATGCCACTTGTTCAAATAAGCAGTAATTTTTTTGTAAGTTTCCATGTATATGTACACTTGATTATGTGTCCTATTTATGGCATGTCATGACAGATTAAGTAATTGTTTAAAATAGGTGTCTAATATGTTGTTATGGGATAAGCTGACCATGTGCTGGTTTAATCAGTTTTCCAGTCTGTTAGGACTCTGTACATTAAATAGATAATTGTATAATACAATGTGTTGTAGAATTGAGAAAGTGGTAGATAAAAGTAAGGAAAAAGTTGCATATTATTGATTGAGAAATATCCATACTGTTCTTTTCTGAGAAGCAACAAATTACATTTATCGAGGTAAGGAATGTGTTCTTTATCATTAATCATTTTAAGAAAAAGAAAACTTGTGGATAAAAGATATAAAGGAAGGTTGGGTATTTAATGCATTTGACTAAAAACATTGATTTGTTTTTAAATCTAAAAATTAGTTCTGTTTGGATAATGTTAAGCTGTGTTCTCAGATCAGTGGTATTTGTTCACAGGAGAAATAGCAGTTTCTTATTGTATCCTTAAGTGACTTGTGTGACCTATGAACTGATAGGACTGCTCCAGGAATTCTTGATTAGATTTCCACCCCCCCCCCCCCCCCCCTTTTTTTTAAATTTCCCCCCCCCCCCCCCCAACCTTTTTAGAGCAGCAGTCTGTACTTACTATTCCTGATCTTTCCAAGATAGGCCTTTTTTTGCTGGGAGACAGCTATATTTAGTATAGTGATATTTCTTTTATAGAAAAAATGTATTAAGTGGGGAGAGAGGTTTAATTAATGGAACTGGCTGTACATTGATAATGCTTTAAAAGCTCAAATATACATTTTAAAATGTGGTGAAGGACATTTTATTTGTTCCTGAGTGAATCAGAGTATTAAATGCTGTTTAGTATTCTCTGCATTATATTGCTTAGGTGTAGTTCCTTTCCTAGATGATTCTCAGTTGTGTATGTTGTATGCACTGGCTGGTATTTCAGGATCCTGCTCTGGTTTATGTGTAAGCAAATGGACAAGCAGCTTAGATTTAAGAGATGGTTCTTAAGGAACCTACCACTATTGTTTCCAGACTAATTAATGTTAATCTAGCAAGAACACAAGGAATATGCAAAATTTAGTGTTTCATGAATCAGTCCTCAGATTCAACACCTCCTGGTATGAGCAGTGTTTCTGCATAGCTTAAGAAGGTATATGCTTTCTAAGTTGGAATATAATGTCAAACTAAGAATTAGTTATAGGATTTTGGAATAAATTTAGGTAGTTCAGGATGAAGAAAAATTAAAGTGAATGTCAGGTTTTTCCTTCAGCAAGAGAACTGCTCATCTAACTTTTCCAGTTTGTTCTTCAAACAATATTAAAAATATTGGAATCCTGCTAAACATAGTTCATCTCAAACCCTTCCTTTTCCAAGATATTAAGATGTTAAGGAAAGTTTTCCAGATTCTCCTGGTGTAGTAAGTCTCAAATTCCATCTATCTCCTTGTCCCAATCTATTCCTTTCCTTTCCCATTCACCCAGCATTTGTACCTGATGATTTCTTCTTCCATTGCCTGGGTGCCAGTGGAGAATGAGAATGCAAGAGTGAGAGACTCTCAGTTCTGCTACCTGGCTTCATCTAATTTCAGAGCCACTGGGAGAAACCAATGAAAGGAAAGCCCCTGTAGCCTTGGATCATAGCATACTAGCTGTATATTGTATATATGTATATTGGCTAGACTATGAATTTTATGGAGTGGCAAAAAGGTGTATTTTTTTTTTGCTCTTTCTCCCTCTATGAAGTATCAGGGCAGTTAATCGATAAATATTGCCTCTCCTGGGACCTGCCTCTTCAGAATCTACTGCAAAAGTATGTTCATTCTATTGGGAAAGGTTTGCAATCCAATTAGAAAAGGCTCCATTAGGGTTGTTTACATAAAAGCCTAGTTTGGCTGCTGCATCATTCAACTGTCAGTCCAGATTATATTTGTTTTAGTTCTTCCCTCCCCCCCCTCTTTTATGAACAGACTGAAATTATGCCAGTTAATCTACAACCTGTAGCCATTAGATAAAAGAATAGCTTTCCATGGTAAATGGCCCCAGAACATTAGAGAAATATTAATATTATCTTTCCAAAGCAATTGAGTCGAGTCCACCTATGCAAGCAGGCTTTTGCTTTTTGGAGGTGTTTGTTTGTTTGTTCCTTCATTTAAGGTTAATTTTCTAAGTTGCTTCAGCATGCAGGTCTTAGTGAGCAGGCCATCTTATAGGCAGTGCTTTTGTCTGTATTATCCATCCATTA